CATACTAGGTTGTTCGAAAAACACGTTATTTTTCACATATTTTACATTATTACAACACCTCTCTCCCCAGTCTGGCACGAACGGCTCGAATAGTTATTGTATCAAATGAAGGCCCGCCTTCTGAAACACAAAAAGTGCTGTGATTGGTTAGCTGGGCCAGTGTGTGCTGTGATTGGCAGCACTCGGCGCCTGGTCGGGAAATGTCATGCCCCTTACCATCCGCCTGCAAGCTTCAGTGTAAATATTGTATCAAAATCAAATCAATCAGCGCGATTTAAACCGGATGATTGTAACCACTCTAAGTTCGTCTGCCTTGGGAAAGCTAACGTGTCTCCGACACAGTGATAACACTCGTTGCCTTCTCTAGCAGCAGCTTAACCAGGTCTCGTCCCATTCGTCGATATTTGTGATATCACAAATCCCGGAAAATATGCGTTGTAGTTCAAACGAGTCGTTCGTTGTAGTTTTTGAAAAGTGATTTCTGTTAAATGAAATATCTCCTTTTGAATTGGACTTTGAGCTTTGTAACTTCGCAGACCTTCTTTATGCTCAAACAGCAACATTACAGACTAACTAAAGCTAAAAAAGTGAAAAAGCATAATAGGACCCCTTTAAGTTAACAGAATATCACAAATTTGTGGAAAGCTAGAACCAACGCTAAGATATTGTAATTTGTATAGATCTGCGTGTTTAAGTAGCTAATTAACACTGGATGTTAAAAACGTACTTGTGCTAAAGTGTAAATAGGCGCGTTTCCATTACAGAGTTACCCTTCAAATTAGTATAAGGGGCTTTCCCTGCCATTAATGCTTAGACCATTTACACAGTGTGGCTGTGATACGGCCACTGAAGCTGATTGCGGCCACAATGCTTGTGTTTCTGAAGCGGCTCTCTGTGCTGCTTCTATAAAGATACACGCGTACACCTCCTTTGAATAAATATAGCCAAAATCCGTTGCCATGACTTCTCGCGAGAGGCAAAAGATTACGTTTTAGTCGCATAACATTGGTTAATGCAAACGCCGTCATTTCGCAATACTTTTTTTGAATCGACATTTATAAAATATCGCCAAAGGTTTGCGCAAATCTGTAATGGAAACGCGTCTAATGACTGTCAGTAAGACGGGTTTAAAGTGTTAAGGATTTAGAGTAATGTTGAGCACGTCGGCTCGTTGGTCTAGGGGTATGATTCTCGCTTAGGGTGCGAGAGGTCCCGGGTTCAAATCCCGGACGAGCCCGGTTTTTGTTTTCTTATTTTCCAATATTTGCTCTACTGAAGTGTGGACTGTTCCTCCGAGTTTTCTAGAAAAAAGAACATGTGGGAACGAGATTTAATAAAGCTGACGGTTCTTTAGCGTTTATTTCAGAGCTTAGCGTCAACAGCCGTGCTAACATTGTACTTACAGCGCCTCTCTGTGGTAAAAAATACAAGACCCATCCAGTATTGTCAGTATTTGACAAATAACCAATACTTCCTCAAGGCTATATTGACAGATAATGTAGGTTTCGGGAGAAAACTTTTTTTTTATAGTCGTTTCTGGATTTAAAAAAAAAATTTGAATTTGTTTTCCTACTTGTAGGATGAGTGATGAATCACTTGTTCTAATCATTTGCTGTATGAATTTATTATCTGAGGCCTCCTCGGAGCTTTGTGAGGATTTTCCAAACTATTTTACTCAAAAAGTTGATGCTATCAGAACCTCAATTGCTCCTTCTGAATCATTTAATTTGCAATTGCCTTGTACCACAAGTTGTTTGTCTTCCTTTCAATCTGTTTTTATCACATCAGCTAGATGATATTGTCTCTACTATGAAGTGTTCAGGTTCTAAGTTAGATATTATAAGGATGTTTTCCGACTATTAGTCCTATTGTAACAGCTATAGTGAACAACTCTTTAGCCAAAGGTGTTGTTCCAGCCAGTTTTAAACATGCAGTTGTTCAACCTCTGCTGAAAAAACCTCAGCTTGACCCAGCAATGTGCTGTAACTATCGGCCAATTTCTAAGTTGCCTTTTATCAGCAAGCTTTTGGAGAAAGTAGTGTTTTTACAACTTTTTTGGATTCTTTTAGTGTTTTAGATAAGTTTCAATCTGGTTTTAGATCATTGCACAGTACTGAGTCAGCTCTATTGAGAGTTACAAATGACATGCTGCTTTCTCTGGATTCAGGTGCTTGTGTTGTGTTGGTATTGTTGGACCTGAGCACGGCATTTGATACCATTGACCATAGCATTCTTCTTGATCGACTTGAATGTGTGGTAGGTATTCGAGGCACTGCATTAAAGTGGTTTGCCTCGTATCTTGAGGAAAGAAATTTTTCTGTAAATTTAGGAAATTTTAATTTCCATTTCCATTTGAATTTTTTCATCCGCTGCACCTGTCTTGTGTGGAGTGCCCCAGGGATCCATTTTGGGACCTTTACTGTTTTCCCTTTATATGCCTCCCTTGGCCCACATTTAAAAAAAATACAGTATTTCATATCATTGTTACACGGATGATTCTCAGTTTTATCTACCAGTAAGGCTTGATTCTGCTGTTTCATTTGATGTTTGATTGAAATGTGTACATGATATTAAGACATGGATGTCTAACAATTTCCTGCAGTTAAATGAGGATAAAACCGAGGTTTTAATATTTAGTTGTCCTGCACATTTGTCTCCTGCTTTGGAAGCTCAGTTAGGTCAATTTTCAACTAATGTACCCAAACAAATCAAAAACCTTGGAGTGATTTTTGACTGCTCTCTATTTTTTGATAAACAAATTAGTGCTGTTATTAGAGCAAGTTCTTTCCATCTGAGATCGATTGCAAAGTTGAAGCATCTTCTTTCAAGGAAGGATATGGAAGTTGTGATTCATGCACTTGTTACATCTCGATTGGATTATTGTAACTCTCTTTATTCTGATCTTCCTCAATCTTCAGTGTCCCGATTGCAAGCTGTTCAAAATGCTGCGGCAAGATTTTGACTGGGTCAAAAAAGAGGGATCACATTTCTCTTGTTTTATCATCCCTTCATTGGCTTCCCGTTAAATTCAGGGTTGATTTTAAAATCCTTCTGTTTGTTTACAAGGCATTGTCTGGTTGTGCACCAAGTTATATCTCTGCACTTCTTGTGCCATACGGTCCTGCTGCTAGGGCACTTAGATCTTCGAGTCACTTGCTTCTAACTGTACCACGGTGTAGGTACAAATCAAAAGTGATCGTGCTTTTTCTGTGGTTGGCTCCAAGCTTTGGAATGGTCTCCCCTATCATGTGAAATCTGCTCCTTCTTTGAACATTTGTAAGTCTACACTTAAATCTTATTTTTACTCTTTAGCCTTTATATGTGTAGTTGTTTTTATTAGTAGATATGTTTGATCACTGTACAGCACTTTGAATCAATTTACATTGTGTTTAAATGTGCTTTATAAATAAATGTTGTTGTAAGAATCTGCCATAATAATAACTATGTAAAGTAGACGCAAAAAACTATTGACCCCGACGTGATTTGAACACGCAACCTTCTGATCTGGAGTCAGACGCGCTACCGTTGCGCCACGAGGTCGTTCGCACTTACAGCATCACAGTACGCCTATTGACTTTTTTGATGGTGTGCATTTTAGATATAATTTAAAGCATAAAAAATATGTGGGACTGTATTTACGTATAATTCAAACGTACTAACTTAGGTGACTATGTCATATGTCATGTTAAATGTCATGCTTTAATTAGGTGCGACATAACCGAGTCGGCGGCCGGTTAGCTCAGTTGGTTAGAGCGTGGTGCTAGTAACGCGAAGGTCGCGGGTTCGATCCCCATACGGGCCAAAGTGCTTTTAACAGTTCATGTGCCATAGCTTTTCAAAAGGCTAAATAGATAATTTTAATAAATAAGGATAAAAAAGGTTAATAATCAAAAGTGGTGATTATAGACCATTACTAGAAAGCAAAACAGATGGTCAAACAAACAAACAAACATGTTAAATGTAAAATGCAGATGTTTAAATTATATACAGGTGCATCTCAAATTAGAATGTCATGGAAAAGTTCATTTCAGTAATTCAACTCAAATTGTGAAACTTGTGTATTAAATAAATTCAATGAACACAGACTGAAGTAGTTTAAGTCTTTGGTTCTTTTAATTGTGATGATTTTGGCTCACATTTAACAAAAACCCACCAATTCACTATCTCAACAAATTAGAATACTTCATAAGACCAATAAAAAAACATTTTGAGTGAATTGTTGGCCTTCTGGAAACTATGTTAATTTACTGTACATGTACTCAATACTTGGTAGGGGCTCCTTTTGCTTTAATTACTGCCTCAATTCGGCGTGGCATGGAGGTGATCAGTTTGTGGCACTGCTGAGGTGGACACACACTCAGGGGCGCCGTAAGGGAGAAAGGTTAGGACGATTCCAAGGGCCCAGCGTTAGAGGGGACCCACGAGCGGGGAAACGCGATTTCCAAAGAGGGGGTAATATATGCAAATATGCAGTTCAGGGGGGGCCACAAACCACAGCGCGCCCCTGCACACACACACACTCGAATATACTCTCTGAGGGAAAATGTCAAGGTCATATAACAGATTTTGTGTATAAGTGGCTTCAGGAAGAATCTCACAGTTAACAGTCGCCTGAGGTTCACCTTTTTTTGTTGACGGGATTAAGGTTGCTGTAGTTGTTCTATAGATAGTAGATTCTATTACCAGGTCACACGTTTTGTCTGTTTTATTACCATTTCACACTCATTTCATGAGTGCAGCTACTTCCTTAATGACAGTAACTGTATCTCTTTTTCTACGTGCTGCAAGAACTATGAAAGAATATCGTGTTGCATTTGCAGTATGCTGGATCTTTAGTATGCAAATTGTATTATAACAACTCTAAACTTGATGAAAGCAAAGGACTCCCTTGTCACTTCTTTAATCCCAACATCGGAAGGCAATTGGTCTAAATTCGTCCAGATGAGACGTGATCCGCAGGACTATTGCGTGGCGCTGCTGTCAATCCTGCATGGGGCGGTGGATGTGAGCCTACCGGACCGCGCGCGTCCGACACGGAGGAGAAGTTGATCGGCGGAGCCTTTTATCCTCTCCAGCTTGCTTTGGATTGCTCTCACCTTACCTGAGAATTAAAGGCATTGCTCTGTTTGCAAAGACACCTGTGGTATAATGCCGGACACCAAAAAATTCATCGAGAACCTCTCTGGAGCAGGGAAGTCCATTGGCGTCCTGACAAGTGGTGGAGATGCTCAAGGTATTGCCTATTTTTCTTTTAACAAACCGATTAGGATGGCAAGGGCGCTTGTTTACTCGTGCTCGCAGTGGCAGATTGACTTGCATACAGCTTTAATCATCACACATCTAAACGGAGCCAGTGCAACAGATGTAAGAGAAAGGCGAGGCAGTTCCGGGGTTGACGCTCTTCAAGTTACGTTAGGCTACAACATTTCTACTGACGCTCAAATGTCTTCATCACCACTTTTATAGCGATTAGGAAAGAAAACGGATTATTATGACCACGTTTTGATATTTTAGAGCTGAACCACATATTATGGATAATGGAATTAAAATAATGAAAGTTGCATCGCTGAGTCGCGCACTCGAGCGTCATGACAACGCGTAAACTGGGTGCGCTCAAGCGGCTTTCAACGCAACTGGAATTAAATATTTATGCAATTACCTGCCGCAGCGTTTACGGCATGTCATACATTTATTTTACTCTTACATTGCCGGCATTGCACATTTAGTGAAGTAATGAAATAAAAATGAGTGAATGAAAATGATTCAAATTCCTTCAGATCGAGCTATCTGTTTGTGTCCCTTGGTTTTCTGTGCATATTTGTGTCACGATGAATATATCACGGTGAAGAATGCGTGCGCGTGACTACGTGATGGCAGGCAAGTAGAGCGAGACTCCCGTGATGCCGTGATCACGTGGAAAAAACCGACGGCCCAAGCGTGAGTGTGCGCGGAACCCGCGGGTTAAAAGCCACAGGATAATAGTTTCCTTTCGATGGCTGAATGCTCTTTTTAAAAGCGCATCTCCTGTCGGTCATTTATTCTATTGAACTCAAGAGAGAACATGAAGAGGCGTATTGCGTTGTGATGCAATGTCTGACTTCCTTCCTACATCTCAGTCAAAACAGACAAGTGTATTTTACTAAGCTGTTTGTTTACTCTTGAATGCTCGTGCGCTCGTGACTCAGTGTTGCCGCGAGTTAATGCCACCCCAACAACGTGATATTTAGCCCCTGGAATGCAAATTGTATCATGGGAACCTACGGTGGCAGAGAAGTGCTAAACAAATCACAATCCTGAAAACAGAATAACAAATTACAAACGCAAATGCAAGCCTAAAAAACAAAAATAACAATTCAGAAAACACAACAACAATTCAGAAAACATTATAACAAGTCAGAAAACACAAGGACAAATCCGAAAACGCAATGACAAATCAAACAAACCGGAAGAGGTAGGTAGTTTGAGACAGCGCCATTGGTTTGGGATTATTCACCGCTGACTGGACGAGACATCTGTCAATCAACGTATACAGGGAAGAACCAGCGAAGAACAGCAGAGTCGTGGTAGAAAGTTCGGAGATGGTATTAAAGTAGCTCAGTTTAAATGTATTGTATGAATTGCCCTTACTATGGAATAAAAATATGGAGTGTATATTTACATTTAGTTAAAAGTAGCTATAGAACATCAGCTCCAGTGGCGCAGATGGATAAGTGCGTGTCGTTGGCTCTTTTGCCTAACTTTTTTTCCCTCCCTTTTCAAATCTCGTATTAGCAATGGATTATAGTTACACTAAGTGAAAATAGCAGTATTTTTAGCAATATGCTATTTACACTATGTGCAAATACCTGTTTACACTATGTTAAAATAGCAGGAGTTCTACTATCAAGTATACTACTTGTTGCAAATAGTGGCAATTATCTGCACTTCAGTATTGTAGTACATTAATAAAACAGTATGCAATAATAACGTATTGAGTGTAAATTATAATTTTAATTTTAATTATTAAATGGATGCCACCTTATTGGTACAATAAAGCCCTCCCTACACCTACCCTAACCCTACCCGATAGATTATTTTCAACTTTTTGAGTATTTCCTTAATTTTTATTGAAAATAAATGCCTTTACGATGTGATACGAGATTTGAAAAGGGAGAAAAAAAAAGTTTAGCAAAAGGCGGGGTCGAACCTGGGTCGATCGCATCAAAAAGCCAGCGGCTCTCGCTTATCCATTAGCGCCACTGGAGCTGACGTTTTACAGCCACTTTTAACTAAATGTAAATATACACTCTGTATTTTTTATTCAATAGTAAGGGCAATTTATACAATACATTTAAACTGAGCTACTTTAATACCATCTCCGAACTTTCTACCACGACTCTGCTGTTCTTCGGCTGGTTCTTCCTGTATACGTTGATTGACAGATGTCTCGTCCAGTCAGCGGTGAGTAATCACAAACCAATGGCGCTGTCTCAAACTATACCTACCTCTTCCGGTTTGTCTGATTTGTCGTTGTGTTTTCTGACTTGTTATAATGTTTTCTGAATTGTTGTTGTGCTTTCTGAATTGTTATTTTGTTTTTTAGACTTGCATTTGCGTTTGTAAATTTTTATTTTTTTTCAGAATTGTGATTTGTTCTGCACTTCTCGACCACCGTAGAACCCAGCCAAAAAACGTGTATTTTACCCCCGGAACGCGATTTTTACTGGGGGACCCCCCTCAAAATGCGACTGGGCTAGTTTTGAGTGGTAATTGTGTGAGTTTTGTTCCGAAAACCTGCCAACCCTGTGCTCTTGAATGCTCGAGCGCTCGAGCTGAGCTACTCCTATAGAGTTTCCACTCTTCGAGTTTCCATCTTTTTACCTTTTTTTTTTTGTTTTGGTTCTGTGGTTCTGGATGGCACTATGTTTCCTAGCAACGGGTTCCAGGCAGCAGCCCTCTCATCACTATGGGTTAGGCTGGACATAACCTCAGGGGAACAGATGCTTAATTCAACTTGTCAGGTCACGGCAATAGGGAACATACTGAGCAGAGCCTACTTTAATGTTTTAATTTCTCAAATTTATGTGCCTATAGATCTTTACACTGTTTGATGCGTTAGAATTTGAGACTCATCAGTCTTTCTCTTTCTGTATTTCGTCATGCAGGTATGAATGCTGCTGTGAGGGCAGTGGTCAGAATGGGAATCTACGTGGGAGCAAAAGTTTATTTCGTCCATGAGGTGATTTTTCATTTTCTTAATTCCCAGGTCTAAATTTTTAGAAACCCATAATAATAAAATAATGTATTTTATTTACAGGCATCTTTCACAGCACTCAATGACACTTTAAAAGCATGATAAAATACCAAATACAACTATTTTAATGTCATTTTCTGAAATGTGTTCAGGACATTGACATCCGACAAGCAGCATTGTTTCTGTGTATCTCAAAGGCCATGCATGAAAGCTTGTGACAGATAAAAGGTGTCCATTCTGTGGTTGCCTTGGTAAAAAGGAAAATTAATTCAGTTTTTTTTATGATGTTACAATCAGTGGTTCGTTCTCAGGGCTACCAGGGCATGGTGGATGGAGGTGACAACATCAAAGAGGCATCATGGGAAAGTGTTTCCAGTATGTTACAAGTGGTAAGCAGTTTGCTTTATTGAAGTCTCTTAAGCTTAAATAACATACAAAAATGAGCAAACATAGAGAAGACACGTTGCAGGGTTGTTGCAGAGAGCTGCATGATTGTCAATAGAGGTCATGATTCTCCAATGGTTCTGAAGGAAAAAAATTAGACAAACAAAACATTTTACTAGAGGTTCTGACAAGAAGTTAATTGCTTCAGACTAATTAAAATATTAATTAATTCAGCATAATCAATAATAAAAAAACTGTTGAATGAATGATTCAAAGAGTCACTCATAAAGACTGCATTTGTTAGTGAATGAATCTGTTTTTGAACAAATCCTTGGAATTAATGATTCAATGACACAACGTTTTTTAACAGTCACTTGTCGCCACCTACTGGTTTAAGGATGTTGTGGTACAATTATTACTTAAAGTGATAATTCACCCAAAAATGAAATTTTGCTGTTAATTTACTCACCCTCAGGCTATCCAAGATATAGGTGACTTTTTTCTTCAGTAGATCTGAATTGTTGTTGTGCTTTCTGAATTGTTATTTTGTTTTTTAGACTTGCATTTGCGTTTGTAAATTTTTATTTTTTTTCAGAATTGTGATTTGTTCTGCACTTCTCGACCACCGTAGAACCCAGCCAAAAAACGTGTATTTTACCCCCGGAACGCGATTTTTACTGGGGGACCCCCCTCAAAATGCGACTGGGCTAGTTTTGAGTGGTAATTGTGTGAGTTTTGTTCCGAAAACCTGCCAACCCTGTGCTCTTGAATGCTCGAGCTGTATTACACAGCTACTCCTATAGAGTTTCCACTCTTCGAGTTTCCATCTTTTTACCTTTTTTTTTTTGTTTTGGTTCTGGCTCGGATCATGGCACTATGTTTCCTAGCAACGGGTTCCAGGCAGCAGCCCTCTCATCACTATGGGTTAGGCTGGACATAACCTCAGGGGAACAGATGCTTAATTCAACTTGTCAGGTCACGGCAATAGGGAACATACTGAGCAGAGCCTACTTTAATGTTTTAATTTCTCAAATTTATGTGCCTATAGATCTTTACACTGTTTGATGCGTTAGAATTTGAGACTCATCAGTCTTTCTCTTTCTGTATTTCGTCATGCAGGTATGAATGCTGCTGTGAGGGCAGTGGTCAGAATGGGAATCTACGTGGGAGCAAAAGTTTATTTCGTCCATGAGGTGATTTTTCATTTTCTTAATTCCCAGGTCTAAATTTTTAGAAACCCATAATAATAAAATAATGTATTTTATTTACAGGCATCTTTCACAGCACTCAATGACACTTTAAAAGCATGATAAAATACCAAATACAACTATTTTAATGTCATTTTCTGAAATGTGTTCAGGACATTGACATCCGACAAGCAGCATTGTTTCTGTGTATCTCAAAGGCCATGCATGAAAGCTTGTGACAGATAAAAGGTGTCCATTCTGTGGTTGCCTTGGTAAAAAGGAAAATTAATTCAGTTTTTTTTATGATGTTACAATCAGTGGTTCGTTCTCAGGGCTACCAGGGCATGGTGGATGGCGGTGACAACATCAAAGAGGCATCATGGGAAAGTGTTTCCAGTATGTTACAAGTGGTAAGCAGTTTGCTTTATTGAAGTCTCTTAAGCTTAAATAACATACAAAAATGAGCAAACATAGAGAAGACACGTTGCAGGGTTGTTGCAGAGAGCTGCATGATTGTCAATAGAGGTCATGATTCTCCAATGGTTCTGAAGGAAAAAAATTAGACAAACAAAACATTTTACTAGAGGTTCTGACAAGAAGTTAATTGCTTCAGACTAATTAAAATATTAATTAATTCAGCATAATCAATAATAAAAAAACTGTTGAATGAATGATTCAAAGAGTCACTCATAAAGACTGCATTTGTTAGTGAATGAATCTGTTTTTGAACAAATCCTTGGAATTAATGATTCAATGACACAACGTTTTTTAACAGTCACTTGTCGCCACCTACTGGTTTAAGGATGTTGTGGTACAATTATTACTTAAAGTGATAATTCACCCAAAAATGAAATTTTGCTGTTAATTTACTCACCCTCAGGCTATCCAAGATATAGGTGACTTTTTTCTTCAGTAGAATAGTATAGAAGATTTTTAGCTGAAACCATGGTCCTTGGTGATTAATAAAATGCAAGTCAGCAGCTAGCTGTTTTTGAGAAAGCACATCAAAGAACACACAAAATTAATACCCATGGCTCCTGACAATATATTGAGGTCTTATGAAGCGAAATGATCGGTCTGTGCAAGAAACTGAACATTATTTACCACATTATTACCTGTAATCTATATTCTCAGTAAACAGGGAAATACGTTTCTTCTTTCAGTTCAGTTATTTTTTTCTTCAGTTCACTTGTTTGTTTATGTAATCACGCAATAAGCAATTATATTATTAACGCACTCAATAATTATGTGAAATGTAGATATGTTAAAGCATCAAATTACAAAAAATATATTTATATATTTTATTTATACTTTCATATTTTGACCAAAATGAAAAACATAAATTATTACATATGAACTGTATTTTCTTAATACTACTGTGTGTGTGCAGGGTGGCACTGTGATTGGTAGCGCCCGCTGTAAGGATTTTCGTGCCCATGAGGGCCGTTTGCGTGCTGCTCTAAACCTGGTGCAGCGTGGCATCACTAACTTGTGTGTGATTGGTGGAGATGGCAGTTTGACCGGGGCTAATCTCTTCAGGGAGGAGTGGAGTGGACTCTTGGATGAGCTTGTCCAGTCAGGTAGCAGAGTGGGAGGGGCTTATACATGGGACAAGAATTTGTCATTTGTAACTGTACTGAATAGCATAATATTTTGCCTTATTTCTCCCAGGTCAAATCAGTGAAGAGGCTGCCCAAACTCATTCTGCATTGCATATCGTTGGGATGGTGGGCTCTATTGACAATGATTTCTGCGGGACAGATATGACCATTGGCACTGACTCAGCACTGCACAGGATCATAGAGGTGGTGGACGCCATAATGACCACGGCACAAAGGTACTGTATATACCAAAAATGACAATATACAGAAAATTCTAGTTATTAGATATTAAAATCAGCATATTATGGTGAGCATAAGAGACATTTTTCAAAAACATAAAAAACATCATAATTATTACAAACTTTTGACTAGTAGTGTAAATGCATATTGAATATCAAACACATAGTTTGTCATTAAAGGGGTCATATGATGCGATTTCAAGTTTTCCTTTCTCTTTGGAGTGTTACAAGCTGTTCGTGAATAGATAAGATCCCTAAAGTTGCAAAGACTAAAGTCTCAAACCCAAAGAGATATTCTTTATAAAAGTTAAGACTGGTCCACGCCCTCCTAAAACGCCTCGTTTAAACACGCCCCCACATGTCTACATCATGATACAGCTAAAAACGAATTGCTTTAGAATTGCTTTCTGATTGGTAGCTGGCCAATCAGAGCACACCTCGCTTTTCAGACCGATGAGCTTTGTAAAAATCAACGCGTTTCAGAAAGGCGGGGCATAGAGGAGAAACAATAATGTACAGTATGTGGAAAATAATATGTTTTTTTAACCTTAAACCGCATAAACACATTTCATTACACCAAATATACAAAATAATGTTCTTTTTAGCAACATAATATGACCCCTTTAAAGATAAATTAATTTTTTTATTTATTTCATATTGTGTGTTTTTAGCCATCAGAGGACCTTTGTGCTGGAGGTCATGGGAAGACACTGTGGGTAAGACCCTCAACTAGAAACACTCAAAGAGAAATATGCATATACTTAAAAATCAGCATTAAACCATGTGTGCATGTGTGTTTAGGTATCTAGCATTAGTCAGTGCTCTTGCATGTGGAGCTGACTGGGTGCTGATTCCAGAAATGCCTCCCAAGGATGGCTGGGAGGAACAGATGTGTCATAAACTATCAGAGGTAATACACTCACACACATAAACATGCACAAAAAAGCCTACAGTTGTTCTCAAACCAACTCAAATATAGAGGTTATTAACATAATTACATTATTCAGATAAGTGACAGAAACCAGACCAGACCAAAAACCAGTATCCAGCTATTTACAGCAGTTGCAGTGTAGCATGAACTAACATAACATCAGTGTTTTAACTATTTGCTTTATATTGTGAATGGAGCCTTGCAACATAGGAAGCTGAGGAAATAATAAGCATTTATTGGTTTTATTCAAAGCGACTTACAAATGTGGAGCTTCACACACAATTTGTCATCAGTGCCAGCAATATTTGTGGGAATTTTAAGTGTAACCTAAATTCACACACAAGCTAAAGCTGAAATCTAGAGAAAAAGAGAACTATAAATAAATTAATTAATTAATTAGAAATAAGAGAGAATTATATGAGGGAATTTTATACATACATACATGCATACATGCAGTACATACATACATACATGCATATATACTGTATATATATATATATATATATATATATATATATATATATATTAGTGCTGTCAAACAATTAATTGCGATTAATCACATCCAAAATAAAAGTTTTTGTTTACATAATATATGCATGTGTGCTGTGTATATTTATTATGTATATATAAATACACACACATGTATGTATATATTTCAGAAAAATAGGTTATGTTTATATATTTAATATATTTATAATTATATGTATATAAATATAGACATGTAAATATTTTTTAAATATATATACTGTATGTGTGTGCATTTATATATACATAAATATACACAGAACATACACACATACTATGCAAACAAAAACTTTTATTTTGGATGCGATTAATCGTTTGACAGCACTAATAATATTATTATTGATATGATAATTAAGATCGAACTGCTATTGATAATGATTATTGTCCTAAATTCTATCAGATTGTTTGAAATGTTCTAATATTTTGGATAAGAACTCCTGTAACCGGTCTGTCGCCCACCGCTCGCGTCTTTCCCCGCTGAAATTCACGTCTTCCTGTTACACGCTTCGCTTTCTGTTCTTCTTCCTCTCTTCTTTCAGCCGGTGATGCTCCTCGTCTCTTATTTAGAGAAAACTCTTTTTTTCTCCAGCCTGCTGCTGGTTGATAAACAGATGTCGTGTGTTTCAGGTGGCGCTCTTCCATTTCCTGTCGAATTTGTTTTGATGTTTACAAATCATGCATTGTGGGATATCTAACGAAAGCTGTCGTACCTCAGCCGCTTCTCCGTCTCAGGTCCTGGAGTCTCACGGTTGTCGATGTGCTTCAACAGGTTTTCAATCCCACTTTTTGTGTAAATGTGTGAGTTTCCATATTGTACTTTCCTTTCATTTATTGGACTGATTGTAGCAGTTGTGATCAGTATGTAATTATCTTTTTTTTAAGTTACGCACAGTTTCTCTTACAGCAGTTAGGTCTGTGGTTATGTTTGCTGAGCTTGCCTTTAATAACCCCTTTAGAAATATTGCTTTTTTTATGCATGTGTGTTTTTAATTTGGGGTTGGGTTTCTATGTTCAGTCCAAAATGAATAATAAATCCATCTACACTACCTTTTTTCTTTTTTATTTTAGTTTTTTTCATAAATGTGACCCTGGAGCACAAAACCAGTCACAAGTAGCACAGGTATATTTGTAGCAATAGCCAAAAATACACTGTATGGGTCAAAATTATCGATTTTTATTTTATGCCAAAAATCATTAGGATATTAAGATCATGTTCCACTAAGTTATTTTGTAAATTTCCTACCGTAAATATATCAAAACTTAATTTTTGATTAGTAATATGCATTGCCAATTATCAATACTTTTATTTAGCAAGGGTGCTTTAAATTGATCAAAAATGAAAGTAAAGACATTTGCATTGTTACAGAAAAAAAATCAGTTTTAATAAATGCTGTTCTTTTGAACTATTTATTCATCAAAGAATCCTGGAAAGAAAATGAATAGTTTTCACAACAATATTAAGCAGCAAAAACTTTTTTCAGCATTGATAATGACAAGAATGTTTTACTGAGCAGCAAATCAGCATAATATTAGAATTTCTGAAGGATGCTGAAAATTCAGCTCTGCATCACAGGAATAAATTACATTTTAAAATATATTAAGACAGAAAACAGTTATTTTAAATAGCAAACATATCTCACAATATCACTGTTTTTACTGTATTTTTAATCAAACAAATACAGCCTTGGTGAGGATAAGTGACTTAAAAAACATTACAAAATCGTCCCGACCCCAAACTTTTGTACGGTAGTGTATATCTGCCATTAAAACTTTTAATTTCACAAACTTGCTGGATCTGTTTGAGAAACATCTGTATTTGATTTGAAGTGAAGATTGTGTGTTGTCTCTACTGCAGCTGGTGGTACGCTGTTTGGGGTTTGACACACGGGTCACCATTCTGGGTCACGTCCAGAGAGGAGGAACACCTTCTGCCTTTGACCGGATTTTGGTATGGTCCTGACTGAATAAATCAAATTTGATTGAATTGGGAAAAAACACTGACATGGTGTATTCAGTCTCTTCTCTTTTCCTCCGTAGGCGAGTCGTATGGGAGTGGAAGCCGTGTTGGCCCTGTTAGAAGCGTCTCCTGGTACTCCAGCATGTGTGGTGTCTCTGTGTGGGAACCAGGCTGTCAGGCTTCCTCTGATGGAGTGCGTTCAGATGGTGAGAAAGTAACTCAGCTAATGGCAGTCTTTTGGGTTTTAATGTTTATAGTGAAGCTTATTAAGTCTGGGAGCCTGGCCTAGTGGTTAGTTCACATGAGTTCTTGTTTCCTGTCATTTTTCCACATCTGTATCAGTAAGAGAGGTTAGAAGACCAACCATAAATAAATAAAAAAAGAAAAAAATATATGTACACATATTAAATTTCCATACATGAAATATATTGCCTTATGAAGTAAAACATATAACACATATTAGCAATTGGAACAATTTCATAAATCTAGCCCATGCAGATATTTATGTTTATGTATGTCTGATACATGTTTGGGTATATGTGTCATGTACATGTTTATCCATCCCAAAACCGGTCAACACGTTTATATCAAGTAAATATAAAAGGTATGTGTGTATTTATAAAATGATGACAAAAATATACAGTGGTGGCCAAAATTATTAGAACACATGGCGTATTTAAGAGGTTTCAGTTGTTTTTGTTGAATTGGCCATTACAATACCCATAAAACGAACTATTGCCGGAACTACCTGCGATGGAAGGAATCTGCTGGAACATTGAAAATGATGGACTGGCCCCCTCAAAGTCCGGACCTCAACCCCATCGAGCAAATTTGGGGCGAGTTGGAAAATAAACTGGACAGATCTATTGTACATTCAAAGGAAAGCCTTTGGCTTGAGGTGCAGAAGGCATGGGATAACATCAGTGTTGACTTCATCCTAAATAAAATAAAAAAAACTCTGTCTTTCTCTTTATTTATTACTTCCCTTTCTAGCTTGTACTTATTTGAACAATGCCTAAAACTTGGTATTACAAGCACTTGTGTGTCTGTTTGCCTCTTTAAGAAGAATCGCTTTATGTATTCCCCAATTGTAAGTCACTTTGGATAAAAACGTCTGCAAAATGACTAAATGTAAATGTATTGAAGATCTCAGGAAATATATTGTTTGTCGTATTGCAGACACAGGAGGTTCAGAAGGCCATGGATGAAAAGCGATTTGAAGAAGCTGTAAAACTGCGTGGCAGGTAAACTGCAAAAATCATAATTTTACAGAGCAGATGTCAATGTCAAAAGTAAAGCGGGTCATCTTACTTTTTGTGCTTTTAACCCCTACAGAAAATGTCTGAATGAATTTTTAGATCCTTTTTTCGTTTTTCTTTGTAAATTTTTAGAAGTTTCGAAAACAACCTGAACACTTACAAACTCCTGTCCCATCACAAAATTGATACTGAACTTCCACATGTAAGTGATAATGACTTTCATCTTATTATTATTAACAATATTGTGTATAACATATCTCCTCTGACTTGGCCTATTTCTGTGACACTGACAGCTCAATATGTTTATTTATTTTCTTTTGCGGGGATGAGGATGGAACACAGGAAGGACGTGTATGCACATGGAAATGAAATATACAAATAGAATAGAATAGAATAGAATTGAATATTGAATGCCTTTTCATCTGATAGATTCCTGAAGTTCCTTTTACAATTTTTTTCCTTAGTAAGCATTTGATTGATTTGTTCCAAGTATAAAATATAATATATATTTTTCTCAAGTATAAAATATAATAATATAATATATTGTTTTACTTCAGTGAAAGGTTAGGTTGTGAATTTTTTGAATGAAAGATCAAAGAGATAAACAATGTAGCTTTATTTTCACAGCTTTCTTTCCTGATATTTACCTGTTTGTGAGTGTAGGAAGAAAGAATGAATCATCTTTGTACATAGTCATGATGTTTTCTGCAGCAATTTACTCACAATCACACAAATGCAGCTTAATCCAGGATTTTGTTCTGTGTTTCTGTTGTGCAGCAGATTAGACTCCAAATCGTTCTGCTCTATAAACCTTTGAGGTCATGTGACTCACTTTGAGACGCAGGCCTGACTTCATGAATGAGAGGACTCAGGGGATTGTGTGTTTAGTTGTGTTTAGTTGTGTGTAATGCTCTCTTCTCTTCTCTAGAGCTCATTTAACGTGGCTGTGTTGAATGTTGGCGCTCCTGCAGCTGGCATGAATGCAGCCGTGCGTTCGGCCGTCAGGGTGGGGATCACCGAAGGCCACACTTTGTTTGCTGTAAATGATGGATTTGAGGGCTTCTATAAGGGACAGGTAATACAACGCAAACTAACAGACCATTATGTTTAGTTGGTGTTTTGTTAATTATGGGCATTTTTATGTTGATGATGTTTCGTCATGTATTTTTGGCATTTTTCAAATACTTTATGTAGATGCAAATAGATAATCATAGATAATAATAATAGTTTTTTTTTTACTTCTCCCAGTCACAGACTTTCAATTTTAAATCAAGACTATCCATTATAAAAATATTATATATTTTTTTATACTCAAAATGAAGTGAAATAATTCTGAACTATTTCAAAATGTTTTTACAAATATATTTGAAAATCAAGGTAAAACCAGCAAAATCAAGGTAAATATCACTTGAGAACAGAATATAATTATTTTGAATATTATAATCACTATCATTTGTTGTGCAAAAATTCCAATTAGGTTCTAATTTAATTTTGTCAAATTATACAAAAAGTGTTAAAATATAATGCATATTTTGTGAAAAATTAGCCCTAGCAAGAATAAGGAATCTGATGTTTTATTCTAAAATTGTTTAAAATGTTTAATGTTGTCAAATACAATATATGATTTAAGCAGTGGTGGAAATGCCATTCAGTTTTGACAAATAATTTTGCAAAGAATCTGGTGGCAACCCCAGTCTGTGAAACACTACAAGTCTGCATATGGACGTGTGTATGTAAATCAATCCCTTCCCAAATGAGATAAATAGTCATGATTACAGTAAGCCCATTATTCCATCCCACAATCCCCTGCTGCATTGTGCTCAGTGCCATAATTAACCTAGTGTATAGCATTACAGATCTGCTCGATACTACTTTACTCTTTCAGAGGTAATGCTGCTAATGGCGATAATGCATGTTTGAGGCATTTTCTTGCTTATTTGGACAATTATATTTGATTGTATGTGTCTCCAGCCATTTCACAAAGATTCTCTGTTGCTTTGTGTAACAGATGAAGAGATACAGGAGTTAAAGCAAATGTCCATCCCATATGTGCTCCTTGTTTTTTTTTTTCCTGCTTTCTCGCAGATAAAAGAAATCAAGTGGGGTGATGTTGGGGGCTGGACAGGCCAGGGCGGGTCCCTGCTAGGAACAAAAAGGTAAGATTATATTTCTAAGGGCTTATTGTCAATAAAAAAACACTGATATGCATGTATGCAACGAATAGGATTTTTTCTGGTATCCTTTCAGAACTCTCCCAGCAAAGCACATTGATAAAATTGCAGAACAGATGAAGATTCACAACATTAACGCTTTACTGGTTATTGGAGGTTTTGAGGTATGTAATGTAATATTTACAGTGTCTATGTTCAAATATGCTTTACAGTAATACGTTTTTGTACATATTTTGCTGCATATCAATCAGTAAATAAGATTTTGATTCTATGACATTGAAGTTTCTACTAAAAATAAGTCGAGTCAACTCTTTTTCCCAGCATTTTTCATTAGGATGACATAATGTCTGTAAATTATTTTATCACTGTTTTATCATATTTATAAAAAAATTGGCTATTTACAGGTGAAAAACAACAATTTACAGTGTTTTATATTCCCAGATATACATTGGTTTCTAAGAAAATAACACTTTATTTAACAATTATGAGGCACAATATCACATTGATTTGGATTATTATTTATTTAAAATAAATATCTTACAGTATATAAAAATCTAAACAGTAGATAAAAATCTTTACAACGTACACTACTATTAAACAAATTCGGGGTCAGTAAGATTTTTTTGAAGAAATTGATAATTTTATTTGATGAGAGTACATTAAATTGATCAAAAGTGACAGTAATCTAAAAATAATAACATTTATTTTGAAATCTTTAAAACATGATCTTTATATTTTTTGTGCAAATCATGGTACATTATTTTCAGAATTATTTGGTTAGTAGAAAGTTAAAAAACTTTCTACTAACCAAATAATTCTGAAAGTAATGTACCATGATTTCCACAAAAATATAAAGCAGCACAACTTTTGTCAGCATTGATAATAATAATAATGAGTATAAAATGTCTTGTCTTGTATAAAATATAATATATTGATCATGTGACACTGAAGACTGGAGTAATGATGCTGGAACTTCAACTTTGGATCACAGGAATAAAGTATATAAAAAAAACAGTAATTTTAAATTGTAATAATATTTCACAATATTAAGTTTTTTTTCTTCTTCTGTATTTATCAAATAAATGCAGCCTTGGTGACCAAAAAAAAAAAAAAAAAAAATCTTACAGACCCCAAACTTTTGAACTGTACTGTAAAACATCTTTAAGTGCCAGAATACAACAAACACCAAGTAAAAATTCTACATTAATACTTACAGTATCTTCCTACCTTCTTTATCATAGTGGGCATGGCTCTCTGCCCCTCCCCCTTCTTAACATGACCCATAATTCTGGCCAGTGACCCATAAGTCCTTGCTCTGACCGCAGGCATATTTGGGGCTGTTGGAACTGCAAGCAGCTCGTTCCAAACACGCAGAGCTTTGTGTTCCCATGGTGATGGTCCCGGCCACTGTGTCCAACAATATCCCCGGCTCAGACCTGAGTATCGGGGCAGACACGGCCCTCAACGCTATCACGGACGTAAGACGGCACACACTCGTGTCACAGAGTGTGTGTGTGTGGGGTGATGGGCATGTGTATCTGTTTGTCAAGAGCACTGTTCTGTCAGTGAGATATGCTGAAAGGTCAGGGCTGATGATTGCCAACCTCCCAGTCAGGAAACACATAGGTCAGACTAAAAATACTTGACGGTTAAACAACACTTTCTGGGTTGCAGCATAAGAGTTAACCTTAGGTACATTTGGTTTTTAGATACATTGCAAAGCATAGAAAGTGTGGTAGATTGGTGCTTAGTGGGATGAGGTAGATTTCTATTTGCTAGGGTGAGGCAGAGCTGCATTTTAGTTTAAACAGAGCTGCATTTGGAGGGTGAGAGAGCTGTTTAACAGGTAAACTTGTGCTTGGTTGTATTAAGTATGTTTACATGTACAGTTAATATACATAATACTTTATCTGTCTGGCTAAGCATACACACTCTTAAAATTAAAGGTTCTTCTTTTGGCATCTACAGGTGCATCTCAATAAATTAGAATGTCGTGGAAAAGTACATTTATTTCAGTAATTCAACTCAAATTGTGAAACTCGTGTATTAAATAAATTCAGTGCACCCAGACTGAAGTAGTTTAAGTCTTTGATTCTTTTAATTGGGATGATTTTGGCTCACTTGTAACAAAAACCCACCAATTCACTATCTCAACAAATTAGAATATGGTGACATGCCAATCAGCTAATCAACTCAAAACACCTGCAAAGGTTTCCTGAGCCTTCAAAATGGTCTCTCAGTTGTGTTCACTAGGCTACACAATCATGGGGAAGACTGCTGATCTGACAGTTGTCCAGAAGACAATCACTGACACCCTTCACAAGGAGGGTAAGCCACAAACATTAATTGCCAAAGAAGCTGGCTGTTCACAGAGTGCTGTATCCAAGCATGTTAAAAGAAAGTTGAGTGGAAGGAAAAAGTGTGGAAGAAAAAGATGCACAAACAACAATCCATGGAACCTTTCCATTGCACTAGAGGTTCTTTATAGTGGAAAAAAAAGTTATTTAGATTAAAATGATCTTCACACTAAGAAAAAATGGTTCTTTTAAGATTCTGAAAGATTTTTTCTTTGGGGAACCCAAAACAGTTCTTCTGTATCATGCTCCAAAAACAAAAAAGCCATTTGAAACCTTCTGAAGCCAACAAATATGTTGTTAGAATGAAAAAAGTTTTAAAAATTACATTTTTAGGCTGGTCTGCCTCAATGGTCTAACAGTACTTGTCAATGTCAAAATTATTGAGATGGGCAATAAAATCAAAGAAGGCAGCATAACACTTCAGTTGTAGCAATGAAAGAGTGTAATATGTAAATAGCTAAAAATGTAATATTTGACAACTATTTTCAACTCAACAGTAATATCCAGTGATGCAAAATACTTGACTTTTCTTCAGATTTCGTTGTCTGTATTGAAAAAACAGGCTATTATATATGTGATCAATTTAATTCATAAATGAATTTGCCGAGACAAGAAACATTAACGAAGCCGTACTGGCATAGTAAATGTGTGCATATTTTAAAATAAAAATATAATATATATATATATATATATATATATATATACTCACTGTGTACATGACATTTTAAACAAATTACTATTGTCCATCTAAAATGTAAATTTTAAAGTGCATGTAAACATATTTGCTGTGTTTAGTAGGTTGACTCACAGCTCTACAGGTAGAGTTTTGTATTGTAGTATGAAGTAGAGGTGCATTTGGTAGGATGAGATAACAGTGTGTGTGATGGTGAGGTTGGTGATCACTGCAGCCTGACTGAATCAGTGTGTCTGCAGACGAACGCATGTGGTCACACAGCACAACCTGTCGCCCAGTCTCACACTTGACTCTATAACTGTGCTTTGTGTGTGTTTATATTGCAGGCCTGGTCCAACACAATGTGTTTATCGTCACTAAAGCACAATCACACTGAGAGCCAAATTATAATAACAATAATAATTATTATATTGCATTTTATGTTTGATTATATTGCATGTGATGTGAAAACATGATCATTTAATGTATAAAATTGTTATTTATTATAGAAGTATTATAAAATTAATTTATTATTACTTTTTCTTCTGAACTTGGTTCTGCTATTTCCAAAATTATATATAATATAATATATA